TTGTATTAAAATTTGACTTAATTCAAAATTGTATTTATGTATTTATTACTATTATTATTTTTAAACATCATGAGTGAACATTGGTAATTACGGTAATTCGTTTCCTCACTTTTCAGCAGGGAATTGTTCACGCCCCCTTATTTGAGCATATTCGGCCTTTCTTAAAGTGACGCCACTTCCGCTCTCTCCTCGGCCACGCAGGGATCCAACATGGCGGACACCGGCGCGGTGGAGACGCTCCTGCGGCTCGTAGAGAAGGCGGACGGCGGCGTGGAGAGCCTGGAAGTGGCCGCCAGCCTCGGGGTCAACCACCAGGTCATCGTCGGAGCCGTGAAGAGTCTGCAGGCCGCTGGCGACGTGAGTTTCCCGGCGTGAGAGGCAGCGGAAGTCCCGTCTGTGTCAACATGATGCAACATGGAGGTTTGATCCTGACACTCGGGTTTAATGTCGCTCCGGTTTGTTGCAGCTCATCTCCGCGGAGCAGCGCTCCTCCAAACACTGGGAGCTCACCGAGGAGGGCGCGGACACAGCCCGGCACGGCAGCCACGAAGCCCGGGTGTTCGGCTCCATCCCGCCGGAGGGGCTGGCCCAGAGTGAGCTCATGGTGAGGGCAGCAGGTGGAGGTCCGGCTCCGCCACTTCATCCGGCGAGCTAACGAGGCTAATGTAGAAACACAGGAGGTGACGACATCCAGTCACACCTGGGATCAATTAAGAGTCTCCAATTAACCAATTAACCACACACACACACACACACACACACACACACACACACACAGATGATACAAACCAAGAACCTTCTGTCTGTGGAGCAGCAGTGATCAGATCTAATGAGTGACGCTGGTGAACTTCTGCTTCTCTGTCCCCGTGCAGAAACTGTCCTTTGGGAAGATCGGCTTCAGCAAGGCCATGTCCAACAAGTGGATCAGAGTGGACAAGGCACACGAGGGCGGCCCGATGATTTTCACAAGTGTACGTGTTCCTGCATAACAGCCTGCTGTCGTGTCCCTGAATTTTTCGCATCACTAAGTTGCAAGTGTTTCTTTTTGTTTCTTCAGGTGGAGAAAATCGACGACCAGGTGAGGGAGAAGCTGCTGCTGGTGCAGAGCGGCCTCGGCTCTCAGCTGGAGGAGAAGGAGAAGAATGAGCTGAAGAAGAGAAAGCTGCTCTCTGAGGTGTAAGTGTCTGAGGCCTCCACACGTCCTGTAGCTTTGTCTGGCAGTAGGTGGCAGCAGAGGGTTTGTTGTGGGGCCTTTAATTAGGAGCTCACTCAGCTTGACTCATTATTATTATTAAAGTTACGAGTGTTTGTGTTGTTAGAAGTCATTTTTATTTTACGTTCAGGACGGTGAAGACTTATTGGATCACCAAAGGAAGCTCCTTCAGCACGACTCTCACCAAACAGGAGACGGAGCTCACACCGGAGATGATCGCCACGTGAGTCCACTTTCTACTCAGTCACGTTAACGTGCGTGAACCTGAACACAGCCGGAGAACGTGTCCTGTTTGCCGTCCTCTGTCTGTCAGTGACAGTGGGAAAGGTCTCAAACAGAGGACACAGAGAAACCTCTGCCCTTATAAAGGGGACGAGTCCAAAGATGGGGACTTTGTCCTAAAGGCAGGGCAGGACACAGTCATAGGGACCAAGAAGATGATTGAAATCAGTGCTACAGAAACAAAGGCTGTGATTTAATTCAAACTCTTCAGCTCCATGACACCCGGAAATAAAGTTTGAGACTTACGACCCCCATTGTCCCAAAGGATGTCCATGTTGCATTACTTCCTGTGCTGCTGTTTGTCTCACATGGGACAAGAAAGTAGGATTTTCTAGCTTATGTGACAGTTATGGATAAAATCTTATGTTTTTAAATTGTTCTGGATTTCTGGAAATCCTCTTGTGACTCTTCTTCACAGAATAAGATCAGATTTGAATCTCAAAGGAAACTTTATTTTCATGTAAAGACATTTAAATACTCCACATTTTGTATTTGAATGTGTTTTTGGAACCCGGTGATAAACCCTGTATCTGCGAGAGGCTTATGAATAAATAGATAAATAAATAAATGATGCGGCTCGTACGAGGTATTAACATGATGGAAAAAGCTCCAGTTAACATGAAATAATATCTGAGCGGATTTAGGTGAATTATTACATAATATTACTTTTGATTGTGGGAAAAACAGGATTCGAGGTCAGAGCTGGAGGTCGTCCCCTTCCTCCTGCAGACCCACGCTCCTGACACGACTCTGTCTTTTTTTCTTCTCTCGTCACAGAGGCAACTGGAAAGAGAAGAAATTTAAACCCTACAACTTTGATGCCATGGGCGTCGCCCCGGACTGTGGCCACCTGCACCCGCTGATGAAGGTTCGAACACAGTTCAGACAAATCTTCCTGGAGATGGGGTGAGTCCCTGTAAATAACGAAGACACACACACACACACACACACGTTCTTAAACACAATAAATGAACTCTGTTTTTCTGCAGCTTCACCGAGATGCCGACCAACAACTTCATAGAAAGCTCGTTCTGGAACTTTGACTCCCTGTTTCAGCCGCAGCAGCATCCGGCCAGAGACCAGCACGACACCTTCTTCCTGTCCGGTAAGACAGAGGCTGTGTGTGTGTGTGTGTGTGTGGCTCTGTCTGATAAATATATTCTGGAGTTTGTCTTTTACATGTGAGATATTCACTGTGAAGTTGATCATTCACCACGGGGATCATTTTTCAGACCCAGCGCTCGCCCACGAGTTCCCGCAGGATTACCTGGAGCGGGTGAAGAAGGTCCACTCAGAGGGAGGCTTTGGTTCACAAGGGTGAGTCACACGCTCGCAAAACAAATAAGATCAACAAAACCAACGACGGCTCGATCGACATCCTTTTGTTTCAGGTACAAATACGACTGGAAGATAGAGGAGGCTCAGAAGAACCTCCTCCGTACTCACACTACAGCAGTCAGTGCACGCATGTTGTACAAACTGGCACAGCAGGTGAGGAGCACAAACATTTATAGATGTTTGTGAACTACTTTGGACACGGTTCATTTACTGTATCTGTGTCGTCATTCACCACGAAGCTCTTTCTCCCTCACCCGTATGTGAAACCAGGAGAAGTTCACCCCCGTCAAGTATTTCTCCATCGACCGGGTGTTCAGGAATGAGACGTTGGACGCCACCCACCTGGCTGAGTTCCACCAGATCGAGGGCGTGGTCGCAGACTACGGACTCACACTGGGAGACCTCATGGGCATCCTGCACCAGTTCTTCACCAAACTGGGTCAGGATACATTCTGGTGGTTGTGACGAAATAAAAGATGCAAATGCACGAAGCCACGTTTTCCTGTAAACTGTTTAACCAAAGCATGACGCCAACCACATTTTCCTCAGTGTTTTGTCCACATGACGAGTTTGAATGATTTTTTTATATCTTGTTTTGTATTTTTTCTTTTTTTCAGGAATTACCAAACTACGCTTCAAACCTGCCTACAACCCGTACACAGAGCCCAGCATGGAGGTGTTCAGCTACCACGAAGGTACAAATATATTTTCTTTCTTCCAAACGAGGAAGTAGCCGTGTCTGTGTTTGTTTGATTGGCGGTTGTGCTTTGCGGGTCTGGTCGTTCCTCCGGTTTCATCTCTTGTCATTCTGTACGTTCAGGACTGAAGAAGTGGGTGGAGGTGGGGAACTCGGGGGTGTTCAGACCAGAGATGCTGCTGCCCATGGGACTTCCAGAGGATGTGTCTGTCATCGCCTGGGGGCTGTCGCTGGAGAGGTGAACGCACACAAACCTGAAAACAAACTGATCAAAGAGATCACAGCCGACCTGCGTGTGTTTTAATGTCGTTAACGTGAATATGAGCGGCGGGACTCTAGTGAGACCTGGAGAGATGTAACGCAGACATGTTGCTGTGCTGCTGCTCACTGGGTCTT